CACAAGGTTGTGTCACACCCGACAAAACCCATGAATCTGCTTCTGGGTCAGGTTAGGATCAAAGTTAGAATTAGGAGCGATTTTATTCCGTGAATCTTGCAAATCAAAGCGAGGCTCACGGATGAATTTTTGAAACTGATAAACTGATTTCTGCTACACAATTGAAGGAGTTCGCATTTTTAGCACGAAAAACAAACGAACATTGCAATATAGGTAAAGTGGATGTTGGCGTCACTATCAATATCACAATCAAATTTATGTATTTATAACCTCGTTTTATAAACTTATCACTAAGGCGGGTTTTACAGGAAGAGGACTATGAATATGAGAATGTGAATCTTTGGCTGTTTAGCCTATATCAGATATTTACTTCTTATGTTCTTGCTTATCAACTATTGAATATTCATTTGTGCCCCTTATTTTGTTTTATCTTTTTATTTTATTCCCATATTTTCCCATTCCTATTTGATTTTAAGCCCCGCTGCGTCGCCCTGTGGTCCTAGTGGTTTTGGCTTCGAGCTCACCTTTCGGCTCCGCCGTGACCCTTCTGATCTGAGCCCGCCCACTTGGCCAGCCAGTTTGCTGCAGAGTCTGGCACGTTATGTGTTCCGTGCCAATGCTCAGCTCCGACCTGGCGATCATATTCCTTGGCACTCACCGCTTGACCGACCACCACATCTCAATTCACAGCAACACATCCAGTCCGGCAGTGGGGCGAACAACGAGACAAAATCGGTCAAATTATCGTGTGATAAGGAGGCTGTTGTAGGCACAAGCAAGCCGTCGAGTATCCGGCACATGTTGGTAGTCAGAGATCCACAATTGAAAAAGATAATCACTCCATACGGATATGTGGAATTTCTACAGGTTGCCCAATTTATATCTTCCTTTTTTCTCGCTATCTATATATTTTTCTATAACTTTTTGAAAGAGCTTCTCGTCAGCTCATCTCAGACCTAAAGTTGTTTTGTACTAGTTAAAGTATCGATAACGATAATGAGCATAAACAATGAAGAGGAAGCGAATAGCGTAAAACTCCATTGAATCATGAAATATTTTATAAGTATAACTAGCCTCGCAGCCGGATAGATAATAAAGTGTATTTTAACTATTGCCACTTAGTTCATCATTTTCTAGTGAAAATCATCTTGATTTGGAAAATTAAATACTATTATTATTAATAGCCACAGTAAATCATCATTTTCTATAACTTTTGCTAATCATTCCCTCATTTCTTTTGTTTTTTAAATATTTATTTCTTAATTGTTCAATGACTTAGGGACTGCTATACAGAAATGAAACAAAAGCTCGTATATAATCGAAGGTATGAAGACCAAGATGGTGTAGCCTTTTGTTGTATAGGAGTAGCTTGACCTTGTTTTTGCAACTTTGTCATATTGGTATGTTGATTGAAATAAATGTGAATAATATAGTGTTATAATCTTTGCCATTTTGGTCTTAATGAGATAATCTATGAATAGATAACTTCAAAAATAGTGGTAAGAATCAGAGCTTCTCAAGCCGGTTGCTAGGATGATATGGCCAAAAAGTAGGCCTCGAAGTTCAAGTTTTACCTTTACAATCATCATATATTCTTTTTCCTCACCCAGATTGTTGGCTTGATGGATGACGAGCTACAGCTAGTACAGCGCTGGACTGGCCTTCGTCTAGCTGGCCTTCTTCGAGGTGAATCCTACCGTGATGTTGGTATTGAGGCCGTTGGTACTGCGGGACATGTCGTCCACAATATTGACTCGGCTGATTGTCCTTTACTTGGGACTATTTCCTCAGTTGCGGTATCAGATTCCTCTGCCGAGTCTGCAGCAAACTTGGAAGCTTCCCTCAGTCTTGGCGGCCCGCTGCTGGTAACTGATATGCGTAGGCATTCATCGCTCTTAGTACTGCGTCCAGGCTTGGCCCAACTTGCAGAAGCGGCTGTCACCCGCCAAGGTTCCAGTTTGTCTGGTGTAACTCTCCGTTTGCTTGCCTGGCGGGCACCACCGTGTTCGCTTAAGCCATCCGTCTCAGTCGGAAGCAATGGCGGAGAAACAGGCGGAGCAGAGACAACAGGATCCTTTTCTGCGAAGTTTGATTGGATAGCCAGTCTAATTCCGGGCGAACTCGAGGCTGAAACTCAGAGGAGACGAACTCAGGTGAATATAACTGGTTGATATCCGCAGGCCATCAGGCTTGAGGGCGATTAATGTCAGTTCAGCGCTTTGCAATTTATTAAATATTCCATCATTATATCTAATCTTAATGTCAAAATTATTAGGGATACAAGAAACATCTCATTTTTGCGCAGCATTCTAGTTATTGCTTTTTGCAAATAACATCGATTAGAATTAAGACCTTTTCTTTTTCAGAACATATACTGCCAGTAAAGTTAAAGAGCGATTCCTTTATCATTTTCAGCAGGCTTTTATAAGATTAGCTGCGAAAAGGGAATGTTAAGTATGATAGTAAAAAGTTGAATGACGTGTCAATGTATCTTCTCCAGCATGGATTTAATTACTATATTATGACACTCTTCATGCAATCTAGTCAACCTTATGGAAGATTGATATGAATTACACTTGTCTTTTGGACAGGCTAAGTTTCTGAATCCGCAAGGCCTTTGTCTCTAATCGAACGCATTGGTTCGAATCTTAGTATGACCACAAGTTCCAACTCTTTCTCAACTATTTGGTTACCTGATTCCCACAATACCTGGTTACTTCCAATCTGCATGAACCTAATTTGCATTGGGTATTGGCATATGCACATGGTTTTAAATTGTTTATGGATTCTTTACACTTTACCCTTCTATATAGAAGTGGGTTTATCTCCTTTTCTTAACCTCACTAAGCACATATTATGTGGAGTCTATGCCCTAATAGTCATGATTTCTGGCATCGAACCATGGACCAAGTCACTTCCCAGTAAGAAGGCAGCTACCATGAAGCTGTGATATTTATCTTAGAGAACCAGATTTGCTCAAATATGTTTTATATTTAATTTGAATTATTTATGCCTTCCATACTTATCGTCCATCACAGCTGGGCAACGGCTTGCAGTACTGAGTTATTCTTGAGGAAAATTTTGAGATTATTAAAGTTTTATCCAAAGTTCAGCCAAAAATAATCCACTCATTAAGGGCATATTTATAACATCAAAACTTTCAACCTAAAGGAAGTTCAGATCCATTTCAGACCTTAACTTTAAGCTATAGGTTAGCTCTTACCATGTGGGTAGTAAAATCAATAATTCCAGTTCAGTCACCAGCTTCTAAGTCGAACTCAGGATTACACACTAAAAAACTTTCCTCTGCATTTGGTTGAATACTACAGACATGCTGAACTCTGAGGATACTGACCATCTACTGTCTGGCATTATGGCATTTAAAATAAGTTTTATATAAAAGGCTTCCAGTGTCGGTTAGCAACCAGGTATTTCATTTTTCAGTTCAGATGGCTTTATGTCCACAGAAAATACAAAAATATTTTTTTCTGACCTTACAACTTTGTCGGAGCTAAAGGGAGACCTTATGGAACGTACTTAATTCTGCGTCCTTTTTCATGATTTCCGGCATCGTACCCTTGATTTACTACAGTCCCAGGCGTTTCCCTGACGCTTCATCATTCTTAGAGCAAAGTTACAACCGATAAAAATGACAAGTAAGGGCAATTCCCTTTACAGATTTTCTGTCTTATTCGTTGTGGTATCCCTCCCCACCTCTCCCCACTTCATATGGTATATTTACCTATTCACACTATTCTTCCAATGCTACCTAAAAGTGTCATCTCAAATGGATTTAGTAAGGCATAATCACCTTCACTACCGGCTTCAGCTGCCGTTCGCTGGGCTTCTGGTTTATGGCTTCTGACTTTCATTTAGCCCCTCTCCACCCCGCTTGTCAGTTGTTCCTTGCCACACATGAAAATCAATGTCTATCTGACTGTCTATGAACCTTTTATTTCGGTCCACGTTTTTGTAATATTCGTGGATCTGGGAGGCGGTCGACGCTTCTAAAAAAAGCCTAATTAACAAGAGATGGGAGGGTGAAAAGAAAGCGGGAATTTCGCGTACTTCCTGCCCGAACTTGAGAATTCAGCGAGGACAACTGAAGGAAGACGCCCGAACCAAGGAAATTCATTCACTTATAGAGTCATCCACTACCAATCCCTTTATCACCTTAAACTAAATAGGGTGTCATAGAAAAGTAGACATCGCCAAGAAGAAGATCATGAGATAAAAAGAGCAGTCAAGAAAAGGGGATTACAATGAGAGTGGTTAAGCTTGAAAAGTACCTGGTGTGGGTCCACCTTTTGGATATGAAATTAAA